GTATTAAGCGAACGTCGCACATCTGCTAACATTTGGGGTGTTACAGCAGCACAAGCTTGTCGGATTCTTTCTTTCATGTTATCACGTGTTGTAGGCTTTTAATGGCTAACTCTTAATGGCAATACGTACACGAATTTCTTGCTTAATACACTTCCTTCATTATTAGAAGATGTTCCTCTATTCTTACGTCTGGTTATGTGGTTTCAACATTCCTCTAGATTTTTTTCTATGGGGCTTTATCAAAGAGAAAGTTTTTTTGACAAAGCCTACGACACGTAATAACATGAAAGAATGAAAAAGATGTGCGACGTTCGCTTAATACTCGAATCAACAAATGTTTAGAAGTACATGGAAACAATTTTGAACATTTATTACAATAAATTTTTCAATGCAAAATTTTGTATTGTACTTATTTCATTATTCGCACCCATTCCTCAAAATTTCTGAATTTTTCACTCTCAAGGTCACGTGAAGGTCATGGTATTATAGGCCATTGGATTCGTCTTGACCTCAGCTATCACGCTATAATGAAAAAAATATGTAGTCCTATTTAAAAAAGTATCGATGACCTTGAAGGCTCTAAAAATACGACCTTGAGAAAGAAATAAATCTCACCATAATGTGTGTCCCTTCGAATCAAACAATTTCTTCCTCAGGCATTTTCGCGTATCATTAACGGTAACGGAGATATTGCCTTGTAACAGAGTTACTGGGACACCCTGTATATATTATACTGGTTCTATGCCCTTCATTATTAATATTGTTATATACTATCGTATTTTGTAAATTGCGGAAAGAACATATATTTTATTACAACATATAACATTTAATTAACGAGATAAAATGATACGTACCTTTATCTTTGTTGGAATAGATCGATAAGAAATCGTACATGTAATGCCATCTTTTGTATTATTTATGTATACTATTAAGTGTCTCACCACATTCAACCTTAGTTAGTCAGTCAGCCTCTATCTGTCTCACGCAAGACCACGCGGCTATGTATTACACGAATAAGTTTTATAGTAAAGCTAATTAAACGTATAACGTGTGAAATTCAACCATCCCCTCCCTGCGGTCTGACAATCTTTCTATTCAAGAGTCTTTTATATTTGCAATGGAATACAACATTTAATCTAAAAAAAATTAAAGACGAAGCATCACAAAATGAGAAAATTTTATTAAAATAAAATTTTTTATGTAAAAATACTTGGCGCGCTGCTAGACCTCATAATATAATAAGATGATCATCAAATAATATCGAATAAAAAAAATAATAAAGAGATTAAGTAAGAAAATGAGATGGACTACCAATATACTGTGTGCGCGTGCGTATGCGTGTGCGTGCGTGTATGTGTGTGTGTGTGTGTGCGTGTGCGTGTGCGTACAAGCAAATAATTAAAAATACCAAATATGAAAAATAATGAAGATATTTAAGAAAGAGAATTAATAATATACAGCGTGTTCATATGTGCGACCAGATTTAGATAGGTATGCGGCTTAGATTTAATATAGAATAAGTATTTATATAGAAGAAGTTATTGTATTATTCTCGTGTAGTGTGTTTTATCCTAAATTAGTGATTATTTTATCAAGTCAATAATAACAATACTAACATAAAATTAAAACAATACTATTAGGTGTACAAAAAAGTTCTGAGCTTTTTTTTGTAAAATTCAATCTTTATTCAAAAAGAAACGAAAAAATATTAATCAGCGAAATATTCTCCGTTTGCATCAACGACCTTTTGCCATATTTCGGGTAGCTTGCGAATTCCTTGACGATAGAAACTCACCGGCTTCGAAGTAGGGGTGTCGATCTCGATCCGATCTTTTAAAAGATCGATCTTTTTGCAAAAAAGTTCGATTTTTTAATTGATTCGCCAGTATCCGATTTTAAAGTAGATCGATTCATTTAGTAAGAGATCGATCGTTCTTCGAAGCGTAGGAGCGGATTCGGAAATTCAAGATATATTTTGATATTATTTCATTCCTGTTGTTCACTGAATGTTGAACAAGGATAAAATAATATCTATATACATTCAGGTGGTGTTTCTTAATACTGGCAGCCCTGCCCGTTAGTTGATTCGTAACATTTCATCTTGGTCTCTTTCATTTCCTTATTTTTACCTTTAACTATCGTAGATCCTGTATCGTACTTACATCGTTTAACCGTTATCAGATTTGATTCTTATAAGTATAGGCATTTAAAAACTTAAAAAGTCGTATGTTTTTATATAGTAATTTTTGTTATGATTTTGTTGCACTATTAAACAAATATGGTTTATAATATATACAATAAAAAATAGTTAATTATTTTATTGAAAATTAGTCCTACATATCGTGTTCCAAAGAATCTAAAGTTATAATATCATTACTGTGCCTACATTGCCTGTATTTACACGTTACTGGTTAACATTAATCGGGTTTAATAATATCCGTACTTACAACTAGTAATTACTACTGACAAAATGTATAAATAAATACTAGTTAAATTCTAATTTATACTAATTGACATTGACAGTTGTTATCAAATTGAATTTATATACGATATTTTACCGATTTTATATTAGTAATTGATTTGTGTCATAACTACAGATGTTAGATTGAACCTAGATTTTTATTTTAAATTAAAATTATTTTACTCGGAGACAAATCAGAATCATGTTTTAATTGTTTTTGTTGAATTTCTACAATCGCAGTGAGAAATCATCAAATTGTCATCGATTTGATGTATATTCCATTGACATTTCTCGTGAGATGTCACAAAAAAATTTTAATTGAATCGATCTTCAATAGATCGATTCATTCAGGTCTAATTTTTTAATAGATCGATTTCAATCAAATTTTAAATCGATTCAAAAATCGATACAATTAATGGAGATCGCACATCCCTACTTCGAAGCGATAAAGTCATCAATGCATTTTCGTATCTCTTCTAATGTCACGAAATGTGTATCAGCCAAATGATGCTGCAGCGACCGGAATATGTAGTAATCGGAAGGTGCCATGTCTGGGCTATACGCCGCGTGCGGAAAAAGTTCCCAGCCTAAGGCAAAGATATGGTCCTGAATCGCTTTCGCAACATGTGGTCGAACATTGTCATGAAACAAGATCACTTTACGACGTCCTTGGCCAGTAAATGGCCTCTTTTCTTCTAATGCATCGCTCAAATTGGTCAATTGTTGATGGTAGCGGTCTGCCGTGATTGTTTCACCCGGTTGTAACAACTCGTAGTACAACACACCTTTCCAATCCAACCAGATACGGAGCAAAACCTTCTTGGCGTGGATATTGGGCTTTGGCGTCGATGTCGAAGGTTGACTAGGATCAACCCATGATTTTCTACGTTTAGGGTTATCATAAAGAATCCACTTTTCATCGCCTGTAATGATTTTGTGCAGAA